TGGGAGATGGGCATTTTCTCTCCTTGCCATGCTCCTAACAAAAAGTGCCTCATTTGGATTTCAAAAGCCCTCTTGATGGTTGCAGCCTCAGCAGAAGGCATTAGCTGCAGAAAATAGCAGCCCATAGCAGAGTAGGACAGGCGACTTCAGCCTCTTAGGGCTGGTGGGCACTTTTAGACTTCTGAGAAAATGTTGTGAGCCCTTTAAGAAAATAGTTGTGCCACTGGGATAGGAATGTCTATTCACACAGTGGTTGCTGTAAGCCACAAAGCACTCATTTTACAGACACTGTGCCTATATAGGGCCCAGTAGCTTTCTGGGAAAAGGTAATTGGGTAGGCAGGGCTGCAAGCAAGATGTTTCACTTTGCAGCCGCTCATGGTAAAAACAGCCCCAAATCCTTTTTAAAAATGGGCTGGGCAGGGGAACTTTGGTTAGTATGGTTGTACCTACAGGCAACATGTTGGAACCCCATCCCTAGAACTTGTTTTATGAAATCATTTGCACTAATGGGGCAGTACACATAAGGCAGTCCACTGCTAAAGTCAGATTCACTGGCCAGTCAGATTCACTCTTTCCACCTCAACCCAGCATGGGCAGCAATCTATCACACTTGTTCCTCATGTGATTAGATTATCTTATTATTTGTTGTAAATATTCTTAAAGGAGTTGCTGATGCTTCACACAAAATAGTTAATTGTAGTCTCAAGGCTTGGTTTTTATTTCCTATGCAAGCACAACAGGTTCCTTGCATCTGCAGCTTTTTTTTCGCAGTGGCATCACACCATGACATGTTAACTAAATCTTTTAGCCACACATCAGCACTTGTTAAGTCCTGTGGTTTCTGGGTGTCACTTGACATTTTAAACTGCAGAAAACTCAAAAGTGCTGATGTATGTATGTGTGTAACTAATACTTTCCCTGCCCTTATGCATGCTCATGTAATGCTATATATGTAGTGTTGTAAGCCGCCCCGAGGCTTCGGCGAATGGGGCGCCATAAAAATGTTTTAATAAATAAATAAATAAATAATATATGGGGCAGGGGTTCTCACCTTTACAAGTTTTCTCTGACTGACTTAGTCAAGCAGTTTGTCCCACTAAAAGAAGGACTTATTTTCAAGTAAACTGGATTGGGATTATACTGCTAGTTGCTTGCAAAGTTCTGGAGAGTTAATGTTGGATGATTTAACCTTTTGGCATTCATGATTATAACCTAGAATCCTGTGTCATACATCAGGAATGGATATTATAATTATTACATGGCATTTATATCCTTTTTTACTCTTACAAGGAAACCAAAACAGCTGATATAGTCCTCCTTGACTTCATTTTATCCTTACAAGAGCCCTATAAGGTGGGTTAGGCTGAGAGAGAGTGACTGGTCCAAAATAACCCAGTGAGTTTCATGGCTGAATAGAGACTAGAACCTGGATCTCCCAAGCACCCAGTCCAGCACTTTGACCACCACATCACACTGGCTGACTGGTTATTACTTTATTTAAAACACTAGTACTGCATTCTCCTTTGGAATGATTCTCAGCGCAGCTAATACAATAATGATTTTTTTAAAAAAAAAACAGGACTGCTCCTTCCCACAGGCTTTCAGTCTAAAAGGATATGTCACAAAAGGAAAGAGGAGGGGAAAGAAAAACAAGAAAACTTAGGCACCTCTTCTTTATATCTGTTCTTATAAAAATGAGCTACAATTCTGCCAGAGAGTAGGACTTATCATGGCCAGCTGGAACAGAAATAGCTCAAAGGGGGGAGGAGCCAAAAAATGCTGTCATCTCAACAGAGCTGATGGAGTGGCCTTACTTGCTATCTCTTCCCTTGCTGCAGCCTGATGAAATGTCTGCCGAGGACAGGCAGAGCTTCTGGGCGGGAATAATGGGGGTCTTGCATTCCATCCTTGTCCTCTGCCCCAGCCTGACAGAACAGCTATTGGAAATTACTATTGGTGTGTCTGGTGCAACACTTTGAAACACTTTGATATCACACCAAAGGAGCCATAATGCCTCTGCTCCCCAATACTGTGGTTTGGCTTTTAAAAGGACAATGGAGCACAGCCCTGTTCACTGCAGGAGTTTGAACTGGCTTTTCTGTGAGAATTGAGGTCTTGGTGCAATGCACCACATCATGCTAATTGTGTGGTGTGCAGTGGAGGGAGAGCTTTTATTTAGTCTACTGCAAGCATGTATGCCCAGATTTGGACAGAGACCACCATGCAGCAGGAGGGAAGGATTAAGTCGGTCCACCACACAATGTTTTCCCTGAAATACATCCCTCCCCATTGCCATGGGCATGTGTTTAATGAAACACAGTGGAAGGAAGCCTCTGCCAATGCTCTTTCTTTTCTCCCTCTTGTGGTTGGAGGAATTTCAGAGAGAAAGCCCTGTGTGCAGCAGGGGGAATGTCCCAACCCATACAGGGGCCATGTAAGCTTATGTCAGGGCAAAGAGCTAACTCTCCCAATACATGCTGCATAATTACTGTAGTGTGTGCTTTGACTCTGGAATTCAGTGGATGGATCCCTCTTTTAACAAGCTTGCAATCTCAGAATTTGTTTTCAATCTTAGAGGACATTTCTGCCTTTAGCATATTTTAGTATGTGTTTTTTAATTTAGCATTTTGTTTTTGATACTCTTGTTTTCTGGCCTCATGCAGTTGATGTATTCATAATAAATACATATTCAGTAATGGGATGTGCAATTACTTTTCTTTGAAAAGGTGACTTTCATATCCCATATCCAAACACCCTTTTTTAACACTTCCCACAGTTTCCAAAGCAGTCTGCCATGTGGCATGAGAGGTTCTTGTGGGGAAAAACAAGCCTTGAAATTTCATTGACTCACAGAATTTCAATTTTTTCCATTTGGACCTGCTGAAGGTTTCTGAAATAAAGCAGCTTTCCCCAACCTGCTGCCCTGCAGATATTTTGGACTACAATTCCTGGCAGTCCTTACCTTTGGTTGTGTTGGCCAGGGCTGATGGGAGTTAGAGATGTTTCCAAAATATCTGAAAGGAACCAGGTTGGGAAAAGCAGAAAGATGCTTACAAGCAGCAGTTCACAACTGCTGGTTTGGTTTACTAGCCAGGCCATTGCTTCTAGTTGCCACCTACATATCTGCTCTCTTCTCCTCAGTCTGCTGGCATGCACTGAGGAGTTGGGAGAGAAGCAGATTCTTATTTAATGTTTGTGGAAGCATGGGAAAGCTGGTCAGAAGAAATGCCTGTTTCTTTCTGAATCCACAATAAAGGTTCTGGGAAGGAAATCTTTATATTCCTGGGGACCCATTCATCAGAGAGGCTGGGTACAGACTCCTGATGAGCCGCTGAGCAGATTTGTAGGAGCCTGCTCCACCGTGTTATGGGCTGGGTTCACAGGACAGTGTAAGCCACTGGTTGTGGGGAGCTTGCCATGTTGCCTGAATCTCCCCTGCTATCCAGGGGGTAGTTTATGAACCATCCCAACTAGCCATGGCATGTAGTGGGATGTAGGAAACCTGGATGACATGCTGAGCTGCAATCAAGCTGAAAGGCTAGCAGACCCTTTGGCCACAGCATCAAGAAAAGGTTGCCACTCTGACCAGGGGGTGCTGTTGATGACAGAGAGCAAAGAGCCCAAGCAGCACTTTGCATGGCTCTCAGAGGTTTCTCCTGCTGTGTATTCCTGGGATACTGGCAGGAGGACATGGGGGAATAGCGAGAGGTGGTGCCTCAGGATCCCCTGGGCCTGATCTTAGTCAGGTATAGCTGGGTCCCTCAGGCAACTGGAAGCCACTCTGACTTCATGGTGTAGCTGTGACACAGCAGATCTGATACATTAACTCACAGAACTGACATGAACCTTCTTTCAGATCTTCATGGCAAAATGCTTTGACTACGGATTATGACTGATTACAAATCAAAGTGGTAGGCAGAAAATGGTCAAGACAGTTTATACTAAATGTTGGTCATATGCACAGACATGCATGCACACAGGCAGAACTTTGCCCGATTTCTTGTAAATCTTTCAAAGAAAAACCATGACATGTCTTGAAAATGGAGGGAAGTATATATGCCCGCTTTTTTGTTATTGAAAGGGACAAGGATGCCCTTTGGCAGAAATCAGATGCTCTGGAATTCCAGCAGAAGCTCACTGCAGAGCAAAGATGGCTTGGTGATGCAGAAGTTACCTGTTGTCTGGACTGTCAGAAAGAATTTGGCTGGATGAATCGCCGACATCATTGCAGGTCAGTACATAGAGATGATTTATTTGATGCTTGTCAGAAGTTTTTAGAGGGGTGCACAGTGAAAAACCCTTATTTTTTCTGATCAGAGATCACATGAGAGTTCCCCTCTCCAGGTCAGGGCAGGGTGCTTGGGGACACTGTGCAATTCTGTGCAGGCCAGATTAGGGAGCTTCTTAGTATGGAGGTTACCCTGCCCTGCTAGAGAGAGGCAGAATTCAGTCTATCCATTCAATACATGGATGTCAGGACCAGGGCCTGGCTGGTCCTGCAAGTGTTTACAGAGCCAGGTACTCCTCTGCGGACTCTTGCAGGAAGCAGCTGCAGTGCGGGAACAATCATGCACTGCTGCTGAAGGTCCTGGCAGCTAACATAAAAGACACTTTCACACAATGGCCTTTTTGGCTGCTGGTGATGGGAACTGTAGCTGCAAAATGCACCAGCTTGGGGAAGGGTAGAGGATACTGGCCAAATAGGTCTTCATGCAGTGCTGGCCTGTGAAACATTGGAAGCTCACAGCTGAAGAATGAAGTCAGGTCATTTGTCTTTTGATCTATGGAAGGGATACTTGATCATTTCATTTAGCATACATTTCAAAAGAGCACTGTGTCTCCAATTTTAACCGGAAATGCTTGATATTTAAACAACTCCTGCATTGTTAGCCTGTTGTAACCACTTCCGGATATATCAGGATGCACTGCTTTCTTTCAAACTAATTTTCCCAGTTATAATTTTGTATTTCTTGCCTAGTTAAGTGAACCTTCATGAAATGCAGTTAGGAAATCTCTGGGATTGTAATGCTGTAGTCTTCTAAGGGTTTAATTAATTGAATAAGAGGTTCAAGGCAATGCCATTAATCAACTAAAAAAGCTTTAACTTGTTGACAGTCTTAGTTAAATCTGATGATGCCTGAGAACAGTTTGCATTATCAGGCACAACCCTGAACTGACACTGCCTCACTAGCTGAATGGACCATGCATACAACAGCAGCTAGCAGTTCCTGACCACCCACCCCCCACAAACAAGTGCTCTCCATTTGATTTTGGACTGCCCCCCCCCACACTGCAGCACACCCCATTGTGCAGGGTCTCCTGGTTCTATCTGTAGTGTTTTTACCAAACTGGTGGGGCTGCTATGGGAAGGAGGTAGCAGTGGGACCTGCTTCTAGATCCACCCCATAAACTGAACTTAATTCACCATTTCTTCATTGACTTCAAAGTCCATTCTGCTAAGACTTAAGGTTTTCTGCAGACTGAATATTGTATCCCTGAAGTGCCTTCCTTTTAAAGTTGCATGAAGAACCCTCTCAGCTCTAACCAAATACAACTTTCTTTAGAATGTGTGGCCGCATTTTCTGCTACTATTGCTGCAACAACTATGCCATGTCAAAACAAACAGGCAAGAAGGAGCGATGTTGTCGAGCTTGCTTTAAAAAATCGAGTGTCAATTCAGCGGATTCTGGATCAATTATGAACCAAGAAGAACCAACATCTTCAGGTCTGTTGGCCTCACCATTGTCCCTAGTCCAGAGAGTGATGGGTGAGTACTTTCTGCATGTAAATGGGAGTAGGTTCTCTAGGAAATGTCCAGTGTACTTACAAAAAATCATCCTTGAATCTTTTCAGTATTCAATATGGTAGAGCTAGAAAGGTGACCCTGAACCTGAAACAGAAATGTCCCATAATCAGGATCAATTTTGCACAGGTAAATCAGAAACATGCGACGAAACCAGGGAAGAATATATTCTGCAAAGGCTGGGTCTCCACAGGCAGCTACATATTTATGTTTCTGTGTGTGAGAGAGCATGCGTGTGTGTTTCAATTTGTCCCAGTAAGAACATGCAATATCTCTTCTCCTACTATGCAGTGTCTTTTCAAAAGACCACTCTTACATTTCTGTCATCTTTTGTGGCAGGCATTTGAACAGTATTTGAGACTGATCCCTTGTTAATGAGCTGTCCTTATTCATGACATCTGTCTTCAGTTTTAGTGTTTTAGTGTGCTTAAAAGTGATGAAATGTTTTGTAGTTGTTTTAAGTTATGACTGGTTCTGTAGTTGCCTTTGACATTTTTAACACTCCTGGAATAATAAAATCATAGAGTTTGGGCATTCACATCCAATGCCCTGCTTAGTGCAAGACCCAGTTTAAAGTATCACTGATAGATTGCTGTGCAGCCTCTGCTTGAATACCACCCTTGGCAGTTGGTTCCATTTTTTAACTGCTTTGACCAGTAGGACATTTTTCATATCTTCCTCTCATTTAAGCCTATTACTTGGTGTCCTGCAGTTTTGGACAATAGAGAATGGTTGCTACCCCCTTCTCTGCGACAGCTGCTTGGAACTTGAAATGCAATATCCATCTCAGTCCTCTCTTAAATCTATAAATATACCTAGTTCCTCCTATTACAATTCACCTTTTTGCAGCCCCATCACAAATGCTGACTTTTATGCCAGGTAGAAGGATAGGCTGTACAACACCCTCCTAGATAAGGTGTTAATTCTCACTCATAGATGTGTTAATGTTTATGTTAAGATGGGCATATTGGCAAGTAGCAGTATGACAAATATATGTTGAAATTATTTTACTACATACAAGAGGCCGCTTTCCGGTGTATGAAAGTCTCAGCTATTTACCACCAAAACCTCTGCCCCAGCCCTCTTTATTGGTGAATCTTCATCTGATTTGGTCCACAGGACTCTCACCTTTCTCTGACAATAATATACTCTGGAAAATAGCAATGTGCAGCATTCCTCCATGTAGTTCCAGATGATATCAAGGGGGTGGTTCTATTCATCCTTCCTCTGGAAATCAAGGAATTGATCGCAAAACCAATCTTGTGGCTAATAGATTTTTTATAGCATAAGTATTTTGAACCAACTCCCACTTCATCAGTTGCAGAGAGATGACATCCTTGTTTTGGTACATTTCTGTGAGGTGCATGGTTGTGGGGAAGAATGTGTTCTTTCATTCTTATTTTTTTCTGTAGGGTGGGCTCTGGTCCACAAAAACTCATGCCAAAATAAACTTCAGTCTTTAAGGTGCTACGTGACACTTTGGATTCAGACAACAAGATAACCCACACTCAAGGATTGACTGTGGGTTGTTGAAGCATGGCTCATTGTTGAAACATGGGTTATCATGTTGTCTGAGCCCTGGCACACTAGCAAACCATGAATTGTTAAGCCCAAAGAACCCATGGTTTACTGTTGGATTGCTAACTTTGGTTTGTTTGAGGTTAGCTAACCATGATCTGCTAGCATGGCTGGGTTCAGATAATACAACCCCCATTTCAGCAACAACTTACAGTTCAAGACAGCTCACAGATAGTCCGTGCACAACTACTGTGTGTGGATTATTATGTTATCCAAACCTAGTCATACTTTTGTTGTCATAAGTGAAATCACTTGCCTGGTCAAGCATTTATAGAGATCTCTGGTAAATCTATTGGCATATTGGTTTCTGGGTGTTTCCCTTTCCTCAATCAACTCTTCCTGTGGGAATTCTTCTTCCCATGTATGCTTCATCCACAGACATAGCTGCATCCCAGATGCTGCAGTCTTACCAGAGGAAATGGCAGAGCAGAGGGGAAGTGGACCATTGAATTGGTTAAAACAATAGGTTCATCTCCTGTTCTGGAGTCTACCTTGATGGGTTGCTAAAACCAATGTTTCTTGAATGCAACTTTAAGCAACATCCGATGGTTTCTGCTAGAAAGGGCCTCATTTACAAAATGAACTTGGAGATTCCTACTGTTCCCTTGCTGGTAAACTGGAATATACAAGGTCCTGGTAAAAAGGACTTCTACTTGAGACAGACAAGTAGAACTCATTGCATTAGAGTTCAGTGTCCTTTGTAATCTTGTAATTCTAAAATAAAGTAAACAGTTTCATCACTTGGCCATGTATTCCTTACTTTCTGCCCTTTCCTGTTGTAGTCACAAATGAAGCCTCCAAACCTACAGATGATGCTGTGTTTGATATAATCACAGATGAAGAAGTGGTTCAAATTCAGGAAGGTGACCCTATTCACAATGCTGAAGAAGAATCTCTGACAGACCTGTAAGTATACATATTATTTAAAGAAAGAATCAGTCAGAAAACTCAGCTCTTTCATGCAGCGATCTGTGTCATGATGGGCAAAACTATTTATAGTTTTACTTTGCACTTCTGTCTAAAGCATTCTTCCCTATGCTATCCTTCCTCCTCCAGCTGTGTTGGACTACAAGTCCTGTCATCCAGAGCCAGCATGGTCAGTAGCCTCTGGTCTGGGGATGAGGGGAGTTTGTTTGAGATTGTTTCTTTGATTTGCATCCTGCCTTTTTACCAAGACAGAATTGGGAAGTACTAGGTTGGAGAAGGCTGGTCTAAAAGACAACCAGAATGGCTAGACATTATGAGAGAAATGCAGGATGCCCAACCCTTTTCCTGGCATGCTGATTCTCCTCTGCATATCCTGTTTTCTCAGGCCATTTCCCATTTTCAAGCTTCGAAGCTGGGAGCCTAGTTGAGGGTGGGGGGAATGGCATGGGAGACATCTGTAGGGCAGGAAGAAGAGCTGCTGGAAGGATAAGCTTCCCATTCATCTGCTGCACCTCTTGTTCCTTGCATGATCTTGCCAAATGTGGGGTTGGAAGCAGGGATTTGCCAGGATGACATCTAATTTTGCTGTAAGATTTTCAGTAGGGAAGGGAAAACGAAACCAAGCCTCTCCTTTGGCCATTCTGAATGAAATGGCTACCTGTGCACACAGCCCAAGTAGCCATAGTAGAAGGCCTTGCCAGTTGAGGCAAGGCAAGCGGGCTACCAAAGAAAGGGTTGTCTCAGTGCCAGCGCCTGGCATAGGCTGTCAGCCTCCAGAGAGGCTCCTTTGCCATTGACTGTATCATGCAGTCATCACACAAAGACCTTTAGTTTTCCTAAGTCTTTTAATCTTAATGGTCTTTTTTTGCTATTTTATGCTGTTTTAGTTTTACTGCTTCATTAATTACTTCTGCTTAACTGCATGTATAGTTATTTTTGCTACATTGTACTTTAAGCACACTGGGAGTTTTATTAAAGCATGGTACACAAAAATAGTTAAAATAAATATATTTACATTTTTGAAATGCCCTTCTCAGCCCCACTCCCCTCCAAGTTTCCCATGCTTCTATCAATGCTGGGAGAGAAGGTCACACACAAGCAAGCCTGCTTTGGTGGCGTCAGCAGGAGGGTGGGTGAGGAAGTGAGAGGCAGCAGCTGAAAGTGCCTTAGTTCTTAGTCCCCTGCAGTGATCCTTGGATACTGCAAGAGGACCAAGGCCAGGAGGAGAAGGGACACAACCCCCTGTTGTGCTTGAGCATCTTTAGTGCATGGGTAGATTTCTTAGGGGGGATACCATGTTGCATGACGATACCCACACTGGCTTGGATTCTAAGTTAAGTCTGGAAGCAGAAAGAAAGCTTCCCATCCCTCTCTATGCTATGCAGCTTCCATGAACTTCCATAAGCTGTCTTATTTTACAATCTATCCCAGAGTATATTTGAACCAGTAAGGGCTCACTCTTGTGCAAGTATTGGCAAGAAAAAATTATGGCTGCCTGGGAGATGCTGAGAGTTGTGGGACTCTTTTCGTTTGAAATGTGTAGGGTTGTTAGTTAAATTCTCCTTCAAGCATCAGTTTAAAGTTCACCTCTCTTATTTTTCAATGTGCAAAACAACTTAGTCAAAGTGGTTCTGACAGTCTCCTGTGTAAACCACACTGATGTCTTCCTTTTATGAAAGGCTATGTTCTGTTTTAGCATGGTAATATTAAAAAGAAGAGTTTCAATTCTGAAGCAGTTCTCAGACCACACATAAAAAAACCAGTGATTTCCCCACATTGCCACTGTAGCATCTAGGTATGAATCAACCTTTACTGAGGGATAGAAGAACATATCTGGACCATTACTGGTGTTAGTTTCATGTTAGTTTTCACTGTTGTTACTCTTCCAACAGGCTTTCTTTCTGAATGATGAGGCAATTACAATTGATGGGCCAGAATGCATTGTTATGAATGACCCTCTAATCCCCATGATTCATAGCTTGCTGGTCAGGGATGGTAAGCATTATAGTACAGTACTTACACAGCATGTTGTTGAGGAAGGCCAGTCTAGGTGTATCAATAATTTAGCAATAGTCAGTGACTGAGTTTGTATGATTACAGCTGGGAGAATAAGCTAGAATAAGGCAGCTTCATATATTCTCTGTGGATGACGGAAGTAAATCAAGAAAAGGCAAATGAAAGAATGGCAATGTTATGCTTTTCATTCTCCAGAAAATTCAAGATTTAATGTATACACTGTAAGCAAAGACAAGTTGAACAGTATTTGCAATTTCTTATATAGAAAGCCCAAAACATTATCTTAGAAAGCTGTTTGATCTCCTGTCCAGCCTGTTCTATCATGATCAGTTTTGGATTACATGTTAAAAGCTTATTGTTAAGTTTCACCTTAGAATTCCTTGCTGGGTCTGTTCTAGAAGTGCAGCATAAATTTACACAATTAAGTCTTTTCTCAGAAGCTGCCCATAGCATAAGAACTGGGGTGACAATACACTTCTTCGAAACTTTTTGCCAGGAAGCTTCCACCAAGCTTATACAGACTATGGCTATATTGAGAAGATGATACAGCTCATGGCATTGCCTTTCATGACTGCAGGCTGAAAGAAATAACACCAAACTGAAAATATTCATGAATGTGCTACAGGATGCTCTTACAATGGATACATGCTTGTTTCTTCTACATTATTGGTGGCAATACCAGTTTTTGAGCCATCCTCATCAGTGGTTTGCCATTGCTTCATGATTTGATGGTGTTTAGCACATCTCATGTTTTTAAGAATCTTGGCCAAGTTTTTCCTAAACTTTGCACCAATAAAGAAATAGAGAACAGGGTTTAGACAGCTGTGGAAATAAGCAATTGCTTCCGTTATGAAGAAGACATAGTCAGAACTGTAATCCAGAAGAGATTCCTTGTTTATGGTACGAAAGAGTTTCAGTAAGTTGTAGGGTGTCTGTGTAAAAATGAATGTCACGACAATAGCAAATATTATTTGTAAGGACTTGTGTTTGTGGAATCCTCTAGCATGGCATAAAGTATGTACAATGATAGAATAGCATATAACCATGACCAGCATAGGGCAGAAGAATCCAAGTAACACCTGAATTATATTTATGAGCAGCTTCGTATTGTGTGAAGAATATGCTGTGTAGCATATTTCTTTGTCAAGCTTTTCCTGGATGCTAAATATTAATTGTGGCAGAGCAAATGCCAGAGAAACCACCCAAACCACAATGCAGAATACAGTACCCCAGACTTTTCTTTTGGCTTGACTGATGTGGGCTTTAGTGGCTTGGACAATAGCAAAATACCTGTCGATAGTTATGCAAGTAAGGGTCAACATGGAACCATACAGATTCATACTATAAAGGCCTCGGATGATTTTACATGACAAAGTACCAAAAATCCATTCCTTGGCAGCAGAATAGGCCCAGAATGGGAGGGTACAAAGGAATAATAAGTCTGCTACAGCCAAGCTCACTAAAAAGATGTCAGTTGGCACCTTCACTTTCTCACAGAAGATAAGAATGGTAAGTACCAAAGCATTTCCTGGTATTCCAAAGATGCAGGCAATTGAGTATAAGCAGACTATGAAAATTCTGTAAAGCTCTGAACGCATTTCATGAGCATAGTATTCTTCAGATGTGGCATTGATGTATGCATAATAGTCATAATCCTCCATGCTCATGTGTTCTGCTTTCTCAAAGACCTGTAATCACATATATTGAAAGTGCTCTCAGTAGGCAGATCAGTAGCTTGCAATATGTCTATGCATTGCTGCTGAGTTATTAATTTGGACTAGTTTCTTGAAAGACTAGGATTTAATCCTTAATTATATAGTATATTTATCCCACCTATAGGTTATGATTGTGTTTGCCTTTTACAAAGCAGGAAAGAAGCCTATACCACACACTTCTCAGTCTGGTCTTGGGATAAGTGATCACTTACACAATAGTGGGTTATGTTTTTCAGGTACACAAAGGCTGGGAATATTCACTGTTCCATGGTTAGCATACACCAACCTTTCCCAGCTTGATGTTCTGGTGTGTTGCACAGCATGTCCCATCATTACTAGCAAGTATGGTAAATAATGGGGTAGGCATCTGGGGTTGGATTACCATTCCCATAAACCTCAGCTGCATGGCTAAAGGTTAGGGATTATGGGAGTGGTAGTCCATATCTAGAGGGCATTAGGTTGGGTAAGGCAAGGACACCTGTGCTAGTCAGGAAAGGAATATGGCTTCATGCCACAGTTTCCCTCTTTGGGGAGACAGGAGCTGCTGCTTTCAATATTACTGAAAGTAGTAGCCGTTACCTGAGGGTAGCATGATTTGATCTATTGTGTGATTCTGTGTCCCAGTATTAGAGCCCCACCTCTAAAAGATGAAGTATTTGCATATTCATCCACACATGGCACTCCAGCAGAGTTCTGGGACTGGGGCACCACCATTAGTCCCTGTACAACTGCAGGTACATAAGGAGCAAGTAAGGCAGTCTGTTGGCCATTGTTACTGGTGGCTTGATTGAACTGATGTTGACATGCAATTGACATTACCCTCAGGGAATTCTTGTAACTTGCTGCAGGACCAACCACAAAGGTAGGTGTGGCCCACAGCCCACTGTTAAGTATCCCCTGGAGTGGCTCTTCTCTGCCATTGCAACCTACTTGCTCATCTGCCTGTCTTGCTCTGGCCCAGACAACAGGGGTGGTAAGAAGGACAAGCAGAAGATCCCAATGGCTGCGTACTCATAGGCCCTCTCCTTGCCAAGCAAGCAAGCAGTAGCAGTTATGAAAAAGGAGAAGCAGTAGCAGCTAGTGGCAGTGGTGGTGAGGCAGAAGATTCATGGGGGTTGTCTTGGGCAAATGGCCCTTAGAAACCTGGAGCAGGCACTGATTTGCTGATGGGGCATTTGGGGTGCTGGTGAGATAGTGGCAAGTTCTAACACATTTTAACTTCAGCTTCTCTTCAGACATACAAGTGCAATTTTCCTCAAATTGATGTGATAAAATGCCAAGCAATAATTTACTAGGGTGGATCTCATTGCAGGAATGAGATTTCACTGTGTTTGGGTTGGTATTTTTTTAAAGTTTGGTTCTTCCAAGTTACTTAAAAATGCCACCAGCAATTAAAAGATCAAGTTTTCTGTTTCTAAATAATAGCATTAGAAGATCATCATTCAAAGGGCTTTGTAACAAATAGCATTAAATGAAACTAACTCTGGAACTGTACTTCACAAACCGAGCCAGGCAGGAAACAGGGTTTTCTTTTTTTCAAGAAAGGTGGTTTCTCCTGAACCCTGGAAGAAAATAGCATTTCTCAAATTGAGCTGTATTGTGAAAATTGCAGAGCATTATTCATATTAAAAATCTAAACTAGTAATATAATTCATGGGAAGAAAGCATTTCATCGGAAAGGAATTTTTATCATTTATTGGGAAACAAAAGTGAATATATATATATATATATATATATATATATGAATTGTGAATTCAGATGGTTTTCCATATGCTCTGGAACTCTGCCAGTTTCCAGTACTATATGCTCTGGGCATATGCCAAGTCAAACCATTTAACCAGGTAGCCAAAAATTACTTAAACCACCTGGCAGAAGTTCATCAGGATTTCAAGTAGCAAGTATTTCCAATTACGTGATCCTTTTTGGTAGAAATGCCAGAAATTGAACCTGGGAGGATGGAGCATGTGAGTCCAAGGCTTACCACTGCTCATACACATAACAAGAATCTGTGGTTGGTTTTTATATCTGAACCAGGCCATCTCAGAAATAGTCAACAAATTGACTCAGAGGTAAACAACTTGCTCTCCTCCTGATGTTATAGAACTACAACTCCCATAATTCTTCACCAGTAGCTATGCTTCTCAGGGCTCATGGGAGTTGCAGGGATGGGAAAGATTGACTTACCCTTGAATGCTGAAGTTTGTGCAAAGAGGGATTTAAGGAAGCAACACTGAAGATTAGTACAGTTCCTTCCACTGTGCATTTCCTGAGGAAGGAGGAAACCTATTGAGTCCATTGAGGAAACCTAGTCACTTCTTTGAAATGAGCAAAGACAGTTTAATAGATTAATTGATTTGATCAATTCAAATGGCAGCCCTATTATTTTGCTCTGTGAGAAATGATGGGAAACTTTCAGTGGATTCTTGTAGGCCTCAGGAGAGTCAGTCAGGATTATGGTCTGAGGTAGATATTTAGAGACCAGTAATCCTATGATTGCAGCTGGCCTGGGTGCATGGCTAGGCAGAGGCCAGGAAAAGCCACAAACAGGACTGGGGCCATTGATTCAAGACAGATGAGGGATATACAGGGACAGAAGGTTCTTCTCCAGATGGTTGGGACTTCAGTTTAGGAGTCCCTGCTAGCCTAGTCAGGAATGCTGGCTGTTGGAGTTCAACAAATTGGGAGGTCTTCCTTCTGCCTGCTGCTGAACAAAGTTACAAAGCAAACAGCTATGGCATGGAGAAAATGAAGAAAGGGAGCAGATCTCTGCACCAAGAAAAGGCCAACAAGACACATAACAAGTCCATTGATTATTTTTAAGTGTCTGCCTTATTTCCTAGAATGCCTGGTTAATCTGGAAACACAAGTGTGGCTTAGCTTTTACCTCTTAATGATTTCTCCTGTAATGAATAATATTTCATACAAATTCATATACACATATGAAAAAGAGAAAAAAATGGGCTCTTGTGACAAATTTCCAGCACATTACAGATGAAGGATGGAAACTAAGGAACCCAGGAAGGATGAAAATCAAGTCCTGGATTCTGACATTTTGTGTGTCACTGCCAGAACACTGTTCCTGAATAGGGATCACAAATATTTTTCTTATCTACATGGCTACTCTACAGAATAGGGGACAGCCAGGCTGAGCTTTATCTGCAGCTTCATTCTCCTGGTTTTTCAGTCTTACCCTTTCATGTGACTGTTTCTTCCTCATATAAAACAGGGAAGGAGGTGCTGGGATCCCACTTTTAAAAATATTAGAGTAATGATAACCTAGACAGCATGAGAGGCGAGTATTTTCTGAATTTCAGAACACAAGAACAGAGAAGAACAAGGACTAACTGGATTTTTTCATACTCATCTTTGGCAGATGGAAGACCTACAGTAGTAGAACATGGACCCAGAGGATGGTCCAACTGGCATATGGGCTGACTCTGTTTAATCAGCCATTATCCAATAAACATTTTTACAACCCATACTCTTGGTAAGCTCCTTATCAAACTACTGAAGGGTAGGTAGCCATGTGTCCTGTTTGCAGAGAGCTGTAAGGATCCTGCTCTATTTGAAGGCATCCCACGAAGAGCTCACAGTCCAGGCCTGGTTTAAAGTTAACTCCCCCTGAGAAAGGTGAGCAGCAAAGGCCCCAAGTTGCCATCTACACTTGGCTCAACAAATCACAATGTTCTGTTTAAATCATATTCAGTCATTATTTCTGAATATGAATATATTCGTGTAAATTGGCAGGTACAAACTGTATGCAAATCATTGTCCTCTTTTTTGGCAATAAATAAATGGTCACCCTATCTTGTTAGGCAAACAAGATGACATGTAAGGATCTGAGACCACTGAAGAATGAAAGCTATCTCAATTTTAAAATTCAGGAAACTGACCATTGAATGGTCTAGTCTTGTAAAAAGCTCCTTGGCTTCCCATATGTCCCTGTATTATGATTCTCAGTATGAAGCTAAAAGTGGGTAACTTACCTTGCAGCGATGAGCAGATGTAATGTAGTTCCAAATGCAGATGAGATGTTGAGGTGGCAGTTGCACTAACTGAGCTTGTTTCTGATTGTTTCCTGTTTGTAGATTTTTTTCCGCATTTTGTCGCCTGTGCTACAAGGCTAGCTGCCCAATGGGTATCATCAGCATAATTTTGATAATAGCCTACCACTGCTGCAGAGTTTCTCTCCCTCTCAGGTATACTCTTGCAACCTGGCGAAGTTTCTATTCATGGCCCCAGGCTTTCCTTCTTATTTAATAGATTTATATGCCACCTTTCTACAAAGGCATTTAACACATGTGCACATTTGAAATGCACATATTAAAAAGCAAAGATGCAGAGGACAAAGAAACATAGTCTTTGAGCATTCCAGGAGATGACAGCATGAGATTCCAGGCCTGGACCTCTCATCTGCTGCTGCCAGACAGTAGCAACAAGGCTACTCTTATGCAACCTTTCTCAGAGAAATAATCCCCATGCACTTTACTCATGGGTGGGTGAAAGGCTGCCTCATCATCCTATGTCATGGGTTAGTTGGTTGGATGCCTGACTGATTTATTTAGTGTATGATGAGTTCATGACAAGAGAAAAAGCAAATATATACACACACTCTGTGCAAATATATATAAAAGTTCTGCAGGAATACAGCAGTAGTCTCCTAACTGGATGTCTAGTTCTTCTAACCAGTTGATAGTCTCTAGTGTTGTTTCATGCAGATCTTCTAAGGAGCCAGAAAACACATGTCTTGGGCATTCTTGCACAAAATGTTTGATAGTTTGCATATCAGCACCACAATTGCAACAAGGAGAATCTTTCCATCTGCATTGATACAGAGCAGAGGCACTCCTTCCAGTATCACATATAATTCTATTCAGTATCATCTAGACTGAGCAAGACAGGTTAAAGCCAGGGAGTTTGGGAGAGGGATCGCTAATGTCCAAGCTGCAAAAAGGCAACTTGGACCATTCCTTTCTCCAGGTGTTTTTAGGGTTGAACTGGGTAGATGTAAGATAAATGGCTGTTTTCCATGCTGGCCTATGAGATTTCGGTCTTGTGTCTGAACAACATTCTCATTTTAAGATGGGAATATTGGCAACTCAGTTCGGATGCAATATTGTGAGGAAAAATTGTGTAATCCTTTGAACTGACGGCCCAATTCAATATATGTTTATTCCAAATTAAGTGTCTTGATACTTAATCCTAATTAGTGTGTCCAGGTACCATTTTGCTTCTGGATACAAGCACTTAAGGGGCATTTTTACAAATTAAAGAACCAGCAGCTAGTACATGTAAACTACAGTTGCTATGTGAATTTGTATGAAATGCATGTAGCTTTTTAGGACTTACCTATAAGTTTCAACAAAAGCAGATCAAATCGCCAAATAAGTGTCCATTTGCAAATATCCTCTATATGCCACCTGTTCAAATATTGAAAGCATTGTAAGGTCTTCATTGCAACGTTCTATATGCAGAGAGTGTGTATCCTTCCAGTTTTGTTCTATTGGTCTTTTAAATTCATGTATGTCCTTCCCCAAGAAAGAAACAACAATTGGCCATTGCCAAACTACACATTTGAAAGAAGTATTAGCTATACTGAACTGCCAGCAATTAGCTGAATTAAAGAGATTCTGTGTTGTCGAACAGACATGAAATCCAGTTTTGTTGAGCAAGATGCAACCTAAAACTCATAGGCATGACTGGTAGATGCCGAAGTGGCTATCCTTTCATTAGTTACTTTGCAATTAGCAATTTTCAAATTCCCAAATGTTCCCACAGGGTCAAAAAGGTTGGAGAAATGTTTTCTTAGTAACATAAAGACAACCTATGATCTGTGGGCAGGATATCCTGTTAGTTAGCTGTCTCTCTCTTTTTTCTTTTTCTTTTTTTCTTTTTCTTTTTTTTAAATCAAGTTCTGAACTGGTTTGGGAAGACCACACTGAAAGATGTAGGGTTCATTTGCTCAACTGAATGTAGTAGATTGAACACAGGTTAGAGGTGGTCATGATTGAGTTTATGCTGTGTCAGTGAAGATGGCAAAGAGACCATTCTTCTTGCCAGAATTGCGTCCTAGCATCATCCGATGGAATTCTTCTCAGTGGTTCATGGCCTTTCAAATTGTGAGCCTGGCAGAAAGATGGAGGAAATCTCCATAGCATGCTGTGATGAGCTTGCATGACACTTTGAAGACAAAGCCCCTCATATTTGCCACAGCCTGGACACCATCTTTAATGTAGTTCCATTGGCTGAGATGTCCAAGGCATTGTCTGGTTCACTTTTTAAAATAACTTTCACTTGTTAAGGCCTGAGGATGTGGAAAGGTGCTGGGCGAAGTCCAGTTGACCTCTGATGTGCTTGGCCCTTGCCTGTTCTGCTTTATTACATCTAATAGGGAGGGAATGAGCATCTGATATAGGAGCTGGTTAACTCCTCCCTCAGAGAGAAGGAGTGATGCCAGCCACTTTAAAAGAGATGGTTCTTGTGCCACTCCTGAAAAAGCCTAAAGTGGATGCAGAAGATGTTAATAACTAGAGAGCCAGTGTGGTGTAGTGGTTAAAGAGTGCAGGCCTGAACTCAAGAGATCTGGGCCCTAGTCCCCACTCAACCATGGAGCCAAATGTGTGACTTTGGGCCAGTCACAGACTGTCAGCTCAACCTACCTCACAGGGTTGTTGTTGCGGGGATAAGATTGAGAACAGGAGGAGGAGAATGATGTACGCCAGTTTGAGTTTGTCAAAAGGAAAAAGGCAGGCTAGAACTGTAATCAACCAACCAACCAACCCTTTCAACCCTAGGGCAGAAATAGTCTTTATCTAAGGACACCTGTAGTTCAGAGCTGATCCAGCATGAAAATACATCATAAGGAAGAGTTCTTGGGACCAGCTCTGAACTATGCAAGTCCTTCATCTAAGGTTTCATGTAGGTCAGACATGATCCCACCCAACAATACTGTGAAGTAGTCTGCAGAGTGGTGACCAAAGTGTTAATTAGGTTGGCTGGTCTTTTGCTAATTCTCCCAATAGAGACTGGTAGTAGTAAAGGTTAGGAGATTGAGTGACATATTTTCTAGGACTTATCAAGGGAAGGCATGAACTCTGCTCCAAGCACACCTGGCCCAGCTTTATGGACTTACCCTTTCAGGGCTTGATTGCCTGCTGCTGGGGTGACGACCGGGTACAATATACCAGGTGAGATGGCAGGCCATCCCAGGATTGGGCAACAGGAACCCCCCAACTGCCAAGAGGAGTGGGTCTTTTGCTTCTTTCTGGACAAAAATTTACCTGGGGACTTGGTAAATGACCAATCCTGCTCATGGAATATCCATTGCAGATGTGATCTAGAGTGGGGACACATTTATTTTCTTTGCTGGATGATGTGCTGATGAGTTTCTGTGCACTTAGGAATTGGGGTTTTTGGTATTTTTAGCATCCTTTTATTGCCCTTTACCTTTTCCCCTTCCCTTTTAAATGGAAGCACTTTGGTCCCTTTCCTTTTGCAAGTAAACTCTTTCCCCCAGACTGGTATGGTTGTTTTCACTGAATCAGTGCTAAATCCAATGCTCATACTGGGGCGGAAAGTTAAATCAGGGGCAGGGGTTGAGTCCCTGGCTGAGGGGACTGCCCCAGGCCTCCTTCATAGACACATCATAAGGAAGTCTTATTATGTATGGTGAATAGAAGCCTAGGCACAACCCCTTGGAAGCTGCTAATTCCTCTCCTAACATCCTTGTTTATTGCCCTATTGTCCATCTATCCCGTGATATCGCAACTGCTCAAGAAGCTCCATGTTACTTGTCCCCAATGAAATTGATAATGGAAAAACAAACTCAGGATCTTATGATGCGAATAGGACGATTTCATGTTCTGCTCTAGTAGTTGTAGTAAGAGTACCCTGTTACTTCACTGAAAATTGGAACTTAGCAATAGTATAGTATGAGGCAAAGTTGCTAGGCAGTGTGTTTACACCAGCTTTCTGGCTGTATGGACAATAGGGAATTGCATACACTGTATGTATGAAGCCTGCCCCTGAAATACTTAGAAGCCAGTCTTCTCAGTAATGTACACCTGGATGAACTTGATGGGGCTGTTTGCACATAATGGTGGCATTCAGTAGCAAATAATGGATTACTTATTTACTTAATTTTTTAAATATCTTGCCCTTTACAGTGTCTCAGGGTGATAATAACATAAATAAATAAGATACAGCACTAATTATTCCCTTGGTTTGTGAGGACACATGCAAGCCACTTTGCTGAACCAAATCTGTTTGTAGGTTGTCCATGTAATGGCTGAACCCAGATGCTTAGCGATTTTCATGGGCTGAATAACCCAACATTAACCTAAGAACAAAGTGTTTCCCCAGACTAGAAGTGGCTTACATGCACTTGCACCAAATGCCATCGTTACACATGATCCACATTCATGCATTTTAGTAGACAAAACCATCTTCAGGAGAAGCTGCTCAATATTTAGTTATGCTGCATTTTAGTTCCCATTCAGTAAAAACACACCTGTCTCCAAGAAGTTTGTCTTTCTCATGTGTGCAGGAACTTTCAAACACACATTCTCACACACAAAAATGATTACTTTCATGTTTTCTCCCCCTCACTTGTGTGCACACACATACTGTGATTCTCCAGGAAGCTGAATCCTACAGCCTTGCTCTAGGAATTTTGCCCTCCCACTTCCAAATAGAAGCTGCATAAAATATCTCTGCAGCCATAAAGATTGTGTTGTTGGCAATATCTTTGGAGCCTTGGGTTAAAGGATTGTCAGCTGTACCTGGAGAAAGGTAGTCTGGGGGCAAATCCTGAGACTGAAACTCTCTTGCAAATCAGGCAGAAGACTGGGAGGCTGTGGAGGAAGCTGTCTTTGCACAGCAGTATTTTTCTAAGCATCAGCAGGGGTAGCAGAGAAACAGGTGAAAACAGGTTAGGTCTGTGACTAGGGGAGGGGTCCAGACAGCCAAAAGGACTGCTCTAAGCCTACATTTACAAAATGGCAATGCTTCAGAGTGCTTCATGCTGCCCCAGTTTTTCATGATGAAAAAGCACAATGCAATCTGCCAGTTTCATCATCCAGCTGCTCAGGATGGTGGTGAAGCATCAGCTGGATGAAAGAGCCAGCAGCTACAGACCCTCAGGGTCATGCCCCTTCATAATGCAAGTTGCCTCCAATGCAAATGTGCCTTCCCCTCCTTAAAAGAGGGAAGAGAAGCTACACAAACTGGGCCTTTTGATATTTCTGTAGAGGGTCCGGTTCACAATGGAGGCTGTCTGCATTATTGTCTGAGGGGTGGGGCTTGAGCTGCTCCTCTCCCATCTGATTGTATCCCCCTGTCCTGTGCATGCATAATCTAGGCCACCTTCTCAGCCTGTTGGGGTGTTGGTGCAACGAATCTCCATCCTATCTCCTCTGGAAGCTCTGACTGCATGTATTCCCCAGATGTTCCTGGATTTACAAATATTCAGTGAGTATTTGCTATTCAGCATCTGGTATCAGCATTTGACAATAGCAATAGATTATTAATAGCATCTGCTGACTACTTATATTTGGTACTGTTGCATGTTTAAAGGAATCTGACAGGTAGTCATCATACCACTGTCTGACCACATGTAATTTGCAGTAGCAATCAATATTTGACACTATTTCCAACCCCTGCCTGCACTGATGCAATAAAATAATAATTAGCAATATAATATAAATTATTAATATATAATACTTATTTATAATATAATCTACTATAATTTCTTTTATGCACACATGATCTGTATTGACACATTCCCCACAGGGGTGGGGAAATAAGGTTACTTCGGATATCTGAACATCTTTGTGTCATTTTCAAGACACTTTATGCATACATTTGCTAAAACTTGCTGGAATTTCAGGTGTCAGTCCTAACCAATAGAGGATCATGGGTAACCACAGTCATCATCAGCATAAGGTGGTTTTATTTTGTTTCATTTTTGCATTTCATGTTCAACCTCAGTGTTTTATCACAGGAAAAGATCAAATGTATGTGCTATCTAAGTGTTTTATTAAAGCAAAGTAGGTCAGCACTGTGGTGTGATTCTTACTGAAGTGGTAAACATGGGTCTGAACAGTGTCACTTTAGATTTGCACTTGGGAAGCATGCTATAAAAACACAAAAGTTTGCTGAATCAGTTCAAAGATCATGCTAGTCCAGAATTCTGTTCCCACAGTAGCCAACAGGCTACCCACTGGAACAAGTGTAAAGTACTTTCCTGCCTGTATGCACAAGCAACTGGTATTTAGTGGGCTTGGGCAGGGGAATGTGCAGCCCTCTATATGTTGCTGGAAGGCCACACTTTTCCCATCAGCCCTCCTCAGCATAGCCAATAGTGGGGGGTGATGAGTGTTGTAGTCCCATCCTTGCTTTAGGCAGTTGCTCTCTCTCAGCCTCAATCTCCCACCTGCTATATTGGGGATAATAGTATTGATCTGCTTTACAAGATTGTTGTAAGTATAACATATGCTACACTCTTGAAGCACACAGAATGGCTGTATGTCTTATATAAATTTGTTCTGGTTGTTGTTGTAAAACTACCCAGGTCTTGACTGGAGAATGTTAGCACTTCTATTCTTGGCAGAAGCAGGAAGCTTAGTTCCTCAATATTTCCTCACCAGTGATTTGGATGAAGGCGTGTTCTGTTTAAAGGCAGAATGTATGACATATGCAGTCACATCAGGGCAGGTGCTTTCCATGGGGGTCCGGAGTGAGATACACACAAGTTTGGCTGGCATTTGCTGTAGTCAGTCAGTCTTTGGAAGATGACTTCAGAAGCTTGTTGCATTAGAGGCAGTACTCAAATATCTTAAATTCATAAGCAAACAAAAACAGTGATGTGGAGATGCAGATCCCCAAACACCCAGGGACACACGAAAGACACACTGGAGAGACACAATTGGCCTTTGGTTTCTCAGTGTATGTGCTGAGTGTCTTCTCCCTCTTACTCCCCACATAGGTTGCTCTGGATTAAATTAGTCATGCTTGGGTCACACTGAAAAGTGTAAAAAGTTAGCCAGGCCTAAGTCCTACTGAGCTTCAGGGGAAGTAAATGGCACTGGCTTAGTCTGAATCCAGCTCAGTGGCTTTGCTGGGAACACCTGTTGGATGATGCTTACGTAAAATCAGTGTAGCATTGTGCTTAAGCGCACAGGACTGGGTCTCAGGCAATCTGGGTTCTAGTCCCTGGTCACAGACTTAGTCCAACCTACCTCACAGGTGTGTTTGTGAGGGTAAGATTGAGAGCAGGAGGAGGAGAATGATGTAAGCTGCTTTGAGTTTGCTGTGAGAAAAAAGTGGGATATAAATCAAATAAATAAATAAATAAAGTTCATCCTGACTCAGAAGAAACAAACTAAATGGAAGTGCCAGACAAGCCATATGAGGAAAAAAGGTAATAAGCTTTGATGCAAGCCAGAGGATAAGGACACCTTAATGATCTGCTGCCATCTAGTGCCTTCTTTTTATATCAAATCAATCCAAACCTACTGAAGTATTGGGGCCCCATTTTTGCAGTATTAGCTTAGCAACGAATGTGCACTGCTGTGCTGTGTTTATAACACTGCTAAAGGTTAGAGAACATGGCCCTCCTGGTGCTGATGAATGGCAGCTTGTATTTACAGCCTCTTTTGCCCTAAATTGGCCGTTCCCTCTTTGCAAGTTCCACCCATTTGGTTAATTCCTGGCTGCGAGTGATGCATTGTCCCTTGAATAGCCACTCTCAATTGCTGTTATCTCAGTTCTCTTCTCTCTGGGGTGAGTGGTTTTATTTTTTCTTTCTTTCTGATGTAAAAAAAAAACCCCAAGAAAATTACAAAAATATGATCTCATCAGCTAAAGTAGTAAATCTTATAGTGTTGCAGATAAATATACTGTTTCATTATTTTAAGGCTGTAGTCCTATGCACACATAATCTGGGAGTAAATGACAAGGAATTCACTTGGACTTTTATCTGAACATGTACAGGATTGTGCTGTAAGAATTCTAACTTTCTTCTCTATCAGATGGTCTCCAAGTCAATTCAATTAAATCCATAAGAATACATGTTGCTTCCATGATAGCTTAATGTAATGAGACATAATATGAATTAGAATCAAGTATAATCCTTAATTCAAAAGGCTCTGTAGAAAGCACGAGTTTGCCTCGATTACCATTTCTTTATGAACAGATGGTGAAGACACAGACCTTAGTTTGCACAACCACTGCAACTTGCCATGCCATATTTAAACCACAGTTGGTCATAGTGCATGCTTGGATGGCTTTTAAATATTCCAGCCACCATCATGGCTTCTCATGCTGCCCAAACCCAGCAGGCCTGGATTGTGTGAGGGTTAAGCAACCCTACAGTAACCATAAAGCAAACCATTACTTTCTGCACTCAGTGCAGCTTATTAGATCATGCAAACTGGCCCTGTTGTTATCAATGATCATTGCTAACTGTATAGTTCTCTGCCTAACTCATTTTTTGTCAATAGCATAAGCTGTCATGAAGTGTACAAGAGGCAGTGCACGCACGCACACGTGCACACACACGCACACACACACACACAGAGACTGCCATATAACATTTTGGAAAATGGTTTGATGATGGGATCAGAATATGTGACAGACTGCATCTCTCAGCTATACTGTACCTGTACATCTGGAACCTTTCTCTGAGTGCCTACTCAGAGAGCACCTCAGAGGACAGTGACAAGGGAAAGGGCCTTCTCAGTTGTGGCCTCCCAACTTTGGAATGATCTCAGAGGTCTGACTAGCACCAGATCTTTCTTCCTTTCAGTCAGGTTAAGACAACATTCTCTGCTGAGGCAATTAAAGATATCTAAGGTTGTATGATGCCCAGTGGGGATATCTGGTGTTTTAACAGGTCTATTTTGTATTAAATATTTAGTTTTTATTTTAAAAACATTTTAAAATCTGGATTATTGAACATGTTTATGGTTTTATTGTATCATGGCCCTGTTTAGGAACTGTTGTAAACTGCTGAGAGAGCTTTGGCTAATTGGTGCTATTGACATTGAATGAATGAATAAATGAATAAAGGTCTCCCTTTGCCTTTGCTTCAGAAACAGCACACATAATTCCTCCACCTTGGATGAGTCTGATGACTTGCCAATGGCCCAAGATGCAGAGATATGCTTGCTGAAGTCGGGAGAACTGATGTAAGTGAAACCCATTACTTAGTCTCTAGTTTTTAAAGATTAACAGCACAGTCCAATACTGTCTGGTCACAAGTAGGTTCCATTGAGTTCAGTGGGGCATACATTCATGTACATGTGTAAATAGAAGGGTTATCAAACCTCTTTCAGCTCAGTGACTGAATTCAATTTTGGAGAAGCATTCAGGCTCCACATTCCAGTGATGAATGAGGCTGAGTGCAAAAGAAGCAGACTGAAAATGCCAACACATTTTAAGTTAAAGTTCTTTGATTATACCTAAGCCTTAGGAGACATATGCCCATGTTTTAAAATGGGGGTGGGGGAGTGCGCAAAACTGGGAAACCACCAAACAATTGCTCGTCTGGAAAATGAGGGTGTGACTACTGGAAGTAAGCATGGCCATCCGGAGATCACTGGAGGACTGATTTAGTCCAGGGGGCTGAGGCTTAACAGGCTTGACTCTGAAGGATAAAACTGAAGCCAAAATAACTCCACTTGTCTCCTGCATATGAGGAATAAAGCTGACAATCTGGGCAGTTTCCAAACCAAATTGGGCTGGGTTAGACCCATTCAGGAGATGTCTGAATTGAAGCAAGACTTCTCCAAAGCTGACTGACTCAAGAATCATGGGAATTGTTGCATGATATATGTTTGTTCCGGGATATGAATCCCACTGGACCCAAAGCCATCCATGCTTCCCACTGCATTTTCCTTTGAAATCATGGGGGACTCATCAGGAACCCATGAAGCAAATACAATGTTGCCTTGCGTTTGTACAATAAAGAAACACTAAAGAGAAAGAAATGAGACTCTAGGTTTTATGCTTACGTGTGTCATGAATCTAGTCTAATATTCTTACATGCTTCTCTTCTTTTTTTCCAGGCTAAAGCTTCCCCTAACTGTAGAGGAGATTTTAAAGTTTGGAGAAGCTAACAGAGAACTGTTCATCAAGTCAAATACGTACAGCATTATTACAATCACTGCAGAGGAATCTGGCCTTACAATAAGTTGGGTGTTTTCATCAGACCCAAAGAGCATATCATTCAGTGTGGTGTACCGAGAATCAGAAGAAACCCCTCTTGATCAGTGTAAAGTAAGACAATGGCATCATGGCAGTATTATTTTTGTCCCTGGAAGTAGCTTTGGCATTGCACTTAGGGTACAATCCTATGAATGCTTAGACAGAAAAAAGTCCTGCAATTCCCAGCACTCTCCAGGAAGAATGGAAAATGCTGGATGCATGGGGAGAGCAATATTTTTCATGCCAAATAATGATAATTAACAGGAGATCAGTGCTAATGGACATTTTAACAGGAATAGTAGTTTTCCATGTGGAAAAATATACTTAAGCCTGGACTAGAAAATGTTCCCTATCTAAATGTTTATTTATTTAAAACATTTTATACAGAACGGATATCTGGACAGCTTACGAAAGGACAAAAAACCCTAACAGCACTTTAATAAAACATAGTCTTCAATATATAAAATATACAGTGTATTTTCAACCATTTTTGCACCATTCAACCATTAAAGTATGGGGTGAATAAAAAGTTTTGACCTGATGCCAAAATGAATAAAGCATCGGCACCAGGCCCACCTCTTTTGGGAGCAGGTTCCATAGCCAGGGTGCTACCGCAGAGAAGGCTTTACCCTGGGTAGCTATCCTTCTAGCCTCTTTCAAAGAGGGCTCCCAAAGAAGGACCTCAATGGAAAATCTTGAAGTTTAGGCAGGTGTATATGGAAGATGTTCTCTCCAGTATCCAGCCCCTAAACCATTTAGGGCTATATATGTCAATTTTAACACTTTAAATTGGGCCTGGATTTCAATCGGTAACCGGTGAAGATGATACAGAACTGGAGTTATATGATCTTGTCTGCCAGTCCCAGTAGGTAGCCTAGTGGCTCTATTCTGTTCCAGTTGAAGTATCCAGATTGCTTTCAAGAGTATCCTCACATACAGCACCTTACAATAGTCCAAGTGGGAGGTTACCAGAGTGTGGATTACCATTGTAATATTATAAATGTTGCAGTAATATTAGTTACTTGTAGAATTTTCTGGAATTCTTGATAGCTGGATAGTTTACTCTTCTTAGTTGAACTCATTTGTTTCGTACACAGTGAAGGGTGCAATCCTGTGCATGTTTAGATAGGATAAACTCCTAAAACTTCTGAACAATCCTGCCTCTTCAGGTTCTTATTCCTATGACCCGCTGCCACTCTCACAAGGAAACCATCCAAGGAAAGGTGAAAGTCAGAAATACTGGGATCTACATACTTATTTTTGACAACACTTTCTCCAGGTTGGTACATCTACACTATGTGAATTAAGGGTAGGAAGGTGGGCAGTTGCAAAAGAAGGAAGGGTCATGCAATCTACACTGTTCTTCCACACAGCTATTCAAGAAGTCCTGCCCTTTTCTACACCTGGCCTCTCAGTGTGGACTGAAATACGATGCTGCGTTCCTTGAATAATGTGTAGTTTGCTATTCTTGAATAGATGTCAAAAACATATTCATTTTTTCTTGTGGCCAGAGTTCTAAGAGAGGTTTGCTTTTATCTCATAAATTGATCCCACCTTAAACTTAGAATTCAGCCAAAGTGTCTAGAGGGTGACACTATTAGGCTGCAGTCTTAGACCAATTCCTATGATTAGGCTGTGATCCCTGTTAATGATTGCTGTTGACGTTTTGGTTTCTGCTGCATTTAAAGATAATAATTGTGTTTTATGAATTCTTGTAGACCCCCTTTAAGGGACTATTGAACGCGAAAATGTAGTCTGTAAGTCTGACTGGTACATAAGTGCATAAATAATTGCAAATAAATAATATTGAAATCACTGACCTAGTTCTGAGCAAACACGATAGGAATCATGCAGTTAGACCCCAAATCCAGAGGACTTTAATTGCACTTAAAAGCAATGTTTTAATTGGAGTTGAACTAACTCACTCAATTTCCACTCAGCTAATATTTCTTCTGTTTTTGTTGTTTTCCCCTATAGATTTATCTCAAAGCGAGTATTTTTCCATTTAAGCATTCAGCGCCCAGTGGTCTACGATGGAAGTGATCTCCCATAGCCTTGAATATATGTAATATTTATATATTGTATCTTTTACAATTATATTTTAAGAGACACTACTATTTAAGTATACATAGCACTACAATGACAAATCTGTCTGAAGCCTTAGATTTATGCAATAATTCTAAAACCATGCTTGGTGTATATAGAAAGGTGCACAAGTATCATAGAAACACTAACAACTCTGGACTGTGTGCCAACTTTTCACAAGCCATGTTTATTTACATAAACAAACACATCTATGCAGTGCTGCATTTCATGCAGGCAGGGTTCACAATCCAAATATACATTTTCAAAGGGCTAAGAAATAAGAGATTTGCTTTTGATTTGCCAGGTTGGAAGTGTATATAAAAAATTTAAAGTGTTGTTATTTCTGCTTTGTGGTATTTATTTTAATGCTGAAAGGGGGATAGAAATGACATTCAGTTCTGTCGTAAACTATGCTATCATGGACAGATTCACTCTAGAATCTTGCTCTACGTCCAAGTTGAAGGTGGCTGGACAGCAGGCTACTTTTGGATCCTTTCCTTCTTTCCAGGTCTTTTGTAGTAAAATTGATTTATCAAACTGATTGGTGATTGAGGCCTAAATGCTTCATGCTGAAATGCATTTCACTGAGTTTTAGTCCTACATTGAGCCCTTTGAATCTGGATGTGCACATAGCAGAGCCAAGCTTGGAATCTATAAATAGAAGTTTTTAATTTAAAATGGCAATAAAGGCTTTATCCCTGCCCCCTGCCCCCCACACCCAGACAAAATATTTTACCTGTTTATCATTTAGCAAAATCTTTCTAGTATAAGAGAGTATATCAGGATAATTACATTTGCAGAATGTAATTATCCAGTATTTGTTTTTAGAATTTAAAATTTGCACAATCATTTGCTCCTAAATGGTGTTAGGAATAAGAGATAACTAGTTCCCAAACTGGCCATGTCTGCATGTCAGTTTAACCCAGCCACCCTGGCTTCTAAATCAGTGTGCACAAGTACTGTGCTACTGTAAAAAGCCCAGTTGCTCCTTCCTTCACAAGGGCAAGTAAACCAGGAATGGATAGCTTTGTGTTACTTCTGAATGCAAGATTATGGTGTTAAGGGTGCCCATACAAACCAGGATTTATAAGCCAACAATTAAGCTCCTTAAGACCCTGGCTTATTTGGGCACATTTAACCATAATCTCAGGTTCAGAAGTAACACAAAGATACCCCTTCCTGGTTTGTTTACCTGCTCTGAAGCAAGGAGCAAATGCTACTTGTTCACATCACAGTTTAAGCCAGAATTCTTGATTTAGGGCACAATCCAATGCAATCTTAGGTTTAAAAAAAGGCTAGGGTATACTAGGAACTGTAGGACTTTTCTCTGCATAGGATTCTACTTTTAAAGTGACATGCAAATGCACTCATGAGTATGGTTACAAAAGCTATGAATTCTGTAGATAGTTGCAGCAGCTTTTTATGCAACATTACTAATAGGTCAACTGGTGAAAGAGTTTAACATTAGGGTATTTGCCAGCCATGCTAGTAAGAATATAAAAGTGTAGTGATATCATGTGAATTAAGAAGTTTTGCTACTTAGTAAAAATAGACTGCAGTATAGAGTGAACTTCTAAGACAGTCTTCCCCTGGGTATGATGAGAGTTGCAGTCCAACACATCTGGAGAATGCCAGGTTGAGGAAGATATGCCAGCACAAAATGCTAGTCAGACACAGTAGCACTGAAATAATGATCAGTGGAATTCCAAGGTATAATTCTTGCTTCAAAGGCAGTCAGAATATTCTGTCTTAAACATACTTGTACAACAAAGTTCAAACGGCCCGAGTTTTGAACAAGATCTTCCCAAACAACCTGTTTTGTGTCTGATAACGAGTAAAATGAAAATGGTCTGACCCCTTTTGAAACAAGGCAATATTTAAATTAGTATTTCAAGGGAAACACAAAATGGTTTTACTCTATTTTTCTAAGTATAAGCTATGTATGTGTGAATTTTGTGTTTAATCATTGGTTGGAGCAAGACAAAACAGAAGCAAGCAAAGAATACAATATGTTGTGATAAGAACAGTAAGAATACATCAGTAATAGTTCAAAATAATTAAAACTTGCTCATTACTTACCTTAAAAATTGGCTCAATCATCACTTGCTATAAGACCAACATCTGCCTCTGGCAATAAAGTGGCCTTATAATGTGATGTACTAAAGCAAGCTTTTCTTCAAATGAGACGAAGCATTTCCCCCTCTAAGGACAGGATCTAAAAACTTAGATCATAGAGGAAAAAAAAGCAAAGTCTTCCATGGACCCACTGCCATGTGTGTAGTATCTCAGAGTTAAAGTCACTTGTTTAAAATTTCTGTGACTGGAAAAAAATAGGTTGGATCCAGTCATACTTAACAGTAGACCCACAGAAATCAATAAGGGGCAAAGAACTTAAATTCCATTGACTTCAATGGGTCTGACTCTAATGGATCTAATGGATCTCAGTTCAATAATGATAGGAAGACTTCCTGTGAATGATTATTAGTATTGATAAAAATGCTATTGTTCAAAGGTACCTAGACTGTAAGAATTTGGGGATACTTCCTTCTGAAGACCATTAAATGCCAGTGCCAAGATCCAAATTGCTGTATAAAAGGGAACTATACATATGCAATTATTTTTTGACATTAGAAAAGGAAATGCAGTTCTTTGTGTGGACTAGATAAGAACCCATCCATACATTACAACCACCAGGAGATTTTAGGCTGGGCC